GAGCCATGGCACATTAGCAAGCTCGAATCAGGGCTGAGTCTGACAAAAGGATCACCTCGTGCGTCTTCTTACGCATCTGCTCCGTTTCTCAACACACTGCCCGGCTGATGACTCATATGCAGACGGTCATTATGACCATATTTTCTGTGCAGCTAAACAGGCTAAGCCTTCCTTACCTTAGACCTGAATAGCCAGATGCTTCTCTTCCCAGACAGGCAAGTCCTCACTGACATTAATCAGAATCCTTCTCTAATCGACCAACGTCACTCAACATTCTGATTCTAAGGTACCATCTTCTTGTTCAATACACCTCCCTGTGATGATGGAAATGTTCTGTGTCTGCGCTGTCCAATACAGTAGACCCTAGCCTTTTGTGGCCACGGAACACTTGGAATGCGACTAGTTTAGCTGCAGAACTAAATTTTTAATTTTAATTAATTTAAATTTAAATAGCCACAGGTGACTAGTGGCTACCATATTAGACCACAAAGTTCTAGATCATTGGTGGAAATGTCCCCATTCATGGGTCTAGTGCTGCCCCTTCGTGAGCACCTCGGATGACAGAAGGGTGATTGTGATTGATCTTGTAGTCAGAGAACTAGGTTCAAATCTCAGCTCCTCCTTCTAGGGGGACCTTCAACATGGAACTTACCCTTTCCATTCATCAGTTTCCTCATCTGTAAAACTGGGATGACAGGGTCAACCCCATTAAGAGATGTTTATAACAATGACATGCGAGATATATATCAGTACAATGCCTAGAAGTCTAGAATATTGGATTAGCCTTAGCTGTTATTACTATTATCTTCATCATCCTCTTCCTTTTCCTAAAGTCCTCAGCTTCCTTTCCTCAAGGTCACCAGTAACTGGCTGAGAAGCCAAAGACAGAATTTTCTGTACTATTTCTTCTCTTTAAAGAAAGCCCGTATTTGACTCCAAAACTTGGGGAAAGAGGCCAGATCTCCCCAAAGGCCAGACCACAAGAACCAACACTAGAAAGCTATCAGAACCCCTATGTCTTAGAGAATTCAGGAGCATGACTCTTCCAGCTTACTTCCAGAACATCTCCAACCCCTCCGAGTCTGGCAGATAATAAGAGAAGCTTCACCCAAAAAGTCACTTCTCTCCTCCTCAACCAAATGTGAATTAACTCATAATAATCAGCAGCACTGTCTGAGCATTTTCTACATGCCAGGCCCTGGGCTTTACAGTTACACATGACGCCTTGGGGCAGGCAGCATCATTCCCTGTTCCCATGAGGCATAAAAAGCTGAAGTACCTCGCCCAGGCCCTAGTGTCGGTGAGTGGCAAACTGGGATTTGAACCAGGCAGCCTAACTCCAGGGCTCAGGCTCAGCTTTGCTACTTCCCTGCAGATTCAGTGACCCTGCCTGACCACCTCCTCCTCCTTCGTACATGTCAACTCTTCTGCCGCTGACGGTCCCACTGGAGCTTTTAGAGCATGATCACTCCCAAGTCCTCACACTTGCCCTTTTACATATAATAAGAAACATAAAAAGGATAAATGCTACTCAAGAAAGAACAGAAAGAAAAAAGTAAGATGAAAGCTAAGCCAATATTGAGTTTTGGGGTTTTTTTCTTAAAGCAGAATCTTCCAAAATTGAACTTGCCAAACCCAGAAGCAGTCACTTTTGCATATGCTTCGAAAGAGCTAATGGAGAGAGTAATATTCCTACTAAGGGTATTTCAGAACTGCGACACATCAAAGAAAACTAGTTTCCAACTCAAAGGGAAAAGCATTGGTTGGTTTGCTCCAGTCTTTTTCAAATCAGTTTACCTATAAATGATGACACGATTATGTTATTTGGCCTGCGTGGTTTTTTAAAGGAAATTTAATAAGCTGCCAACATTTTAAAACCTGTGGTGATTTCACCTTTTTTTGAGTAAGGAGATGTAGCAACATTAGGCATTTTCCACCTTGTGGTAATGCAAGCCCTATAGATGGGTGATGTGATTTCTAGTTTGCCACAATCCCCACCACTCCACATTGCCTCATACGTAATCCTCTGTCGTCATTTTCATGCAGGCAAAGCTGCCGGAGGCACGGAGTTTGTGTCCTCTTTACAAGAAGCTCTGGACAAACAAGTAATCATGCTCAGTTCCCCTCAGTCTTGGCAGTACCAGGAAAGCTTTCCCAGTTCCCTGCCAAGTGTCATTCCTAGGCTGCCACAGACCCTGAGGAGGTCCCCAGTACCTTCTCCCCCCACCAGGCACCACCCCACCCACAACCTCACCAAAACTACAGCTCACCTGCTACTCTGTGTCACTTCGTTCTCTCTTCACAGGTGTCACAGGCACCTCCCCATTGACGCTTTCGGTCCCACTAACAGACATCAAACTCCTCCGCTCCTTCTGGTTTGATTTGTGTTCCACTTTTGTAACTCTAAACCTGAGGGGGAAAGAGAAGATCTGATGAGTTTTGCTTTCCCAGGAAAGAAGAATTATGAGTAAATCAAAAACCATCCATCTAGAGGATCCCAAACAAACTCAGCCAAAAGGGAGGATAGCAGTGAAAAACAACGTACTCACTAGGAGGAACATTTCTCCCCAGCAAATCTCCCTGTCCCTTGCCAGACTCTCCAGCTGATTCTCACTTAACCACATCACAGACTAGGCTGGATATTTTATAGACCATGCCAAATGCATTAAAAAACACAGCTACTCAAATATCAAACAGCCTCAGAGTTGTTTCTCACAATCACATGGGCTTTAACATCAGGTTTTTTAACCACAGAAAGCAAGATTAAAAAGTACGAATGGTTTACAAATTAGACTCACACAACCAAAATGTTCACTAGATAAGTTCCTTACAAAAATATACACCTGTCCGATGGTCCTATCTCAACACTTGCACATACTTGCCCACACATGCACTCAAGACACAGCCCAAAGAGCCCGAACAAAGCATTCTGTCAGTATTAGTTGGTGGTAGGATTGGGATCTTGGTTTGTCTGTTTTTTAAAGACAAATTTAGGCTAATATCCAATAAGGATTAAGGAAAAAATTAAGTAAGTTAAGGAAGAGATTTCCATTAAGAATTAAGAGTGAAATTAGGGCCAGCCCCGTGGCTCACTCAGGTGAGTGCAGCGCTGGTAACGCCCCTATATAGGGATGGCTGGTGCGCTCACTGGCTGAGCGTGGTGCAGACCACACCGAGCTGGGGGTTGCAATCCCCTCACTGGTCAAAAGAAAAAAGAGTGAAATTAAAGAAATCTACTCAATCTGATTGTTTTCCTAGTACATCACTATCAAATCCCTAGAGTCTTTCATAATGGCTTCTTTCTAGTTCTGGTCTTAATTTCCCTTAAAGCCATCTTAAATAAATTCTCCTGCTTTGTATAGAATGAGATCATCAACCCAGAGGAGGAGGAAGACTCTGAGGGAGTAAAAGAAAGAGCATGCAAAGGTTATAAACACCAATCTATTCTATCCAACTATAAGACTCTCTTAAGAAACACACTGAAAAATAGCCTGTAATAATTAAATGCTCATGGTATCCAATGTCCAAGAAAGAGAGTTGGATTTGGGGCATCTAAGAAAAGCCATGTTGAATCTGAGTTGAAAATTTCAGCGGATTTTTTTAAAAGCAAACAAATATGCTTTGTCTAAACAAGCTACAAGTTCTCATTACATGTGCATTCATAAATTCCCATGACTCTGCTTCTTAATAAAACAGTGTGGTCATGAGTTGTACTGTTTTGCTGTTAGTGGCAAACAGCCTTGCAGTCTTCTCCTTGCTTGTGAAACACATGATGAAACTCTACTGAATTAAAATCGTAATAACAACAGCCAACATTTCTTGAATGCTTAAGTGCCCAAAACTGGTCTAAGAACTTTATGTGAGTCACCTCATTTAGTCTTCACAGCAACCCTACGAGGTGGGTATGATTGTCATCCTCACTTTACAAAGGAGGAAACTGAGACACAGAGCAAAGTAACAGTCTGTAAGTAGTAGTGCCAGGACCTGAATGAGGTAGATGCAGTGAGCTGAGGACACTCTTCCCAGAGGCTTGTCACGCATGTAGTACTGTCAGCTTTGGCTAGCTCTTACCCAGTCTGACTCTGTCATGTGTGCTCTTTTTTTTTTTTTTTCTTTTTTTACTGACCGGTAACGAGATCGCAACCCTCGGTGTTGCGCCCGTACCGGGGACCGGCAACGGGATCGCAACCCTCGGTGCTGCGCCCGCACCGTGCTCAGCCAGTGAGCGGGAACCGGTCTCCACATGGGATCCGAACCCTCGGCGGGAGCGCCGCCGCACTCCCAAGCAGCACACTCTCCAGTGCGCCACAGGGTCGGCCCTGTCATGTGTGCTCTTAACCACTACTCTCCACGCCCATTCCAAAGGCAGCATTAGCAATGCAGTTCCTGCGTGACACTCATAATGCAGAGAACAGAAACTGCAAAAGCATTCCACCGCAAAAATGCTTTCTGTGAAGTCAGATCGACTCATCTCCTGAACTGCAAGATCTCCGTATCACATATAGGTCACAAGTGAAAGGACCGTTGGGACTGAGAAACCCAGGACACAGAGCAAGTGAACTGAAAGACAGCAGCCCCAGCAATTCACGAGGGTCTTCCAAGGCAGAGACTGGAGAGCAGTGGGATCAGATCCATCTCCTCTTCTTCCTGGCACACAGTTCAATGATGTTGCCCAGCTCCCTGCTAGTTAGGTATGGCCAAGGGATTCAGTTCTGGCCAGTGGAAGGAGAGCCAAAATGATATGGGCCACTTCCAGGCCCATCTCATTAAATATCCCTCATGAACAATTCTCCGTGGATGTTCTTCTGCTCACAAACCTGGCAAAGACACCGATGGAAGGGGTCTGGGAATCTAGGCAACCACTTGAGAGCCACCTACTCAGGTCTCCATCACCTGCTTTGGATTTCCACAAGTCAAATATAAACTTCTATTCATATATAGTTGAGATTCTGGGCTTCTTCTGTTATAGTGAGTAATTAATTTCGACCTTAATACATCTCTCATTTGATCTAGCAAAAGCTGCCTCTTAGGATTCTTCTGTTGCTGGAAAAATCTAGGATTCAGACCAGAAGACATCTCAAAATCCCAGAGATATGACCTGAGCCAGGCGTAGGAGAACACAGTCTACCTTTAACGGGTGAGTACAAATCCACACACATAGCAACCATGTCACATACAAACCAAAAGCATCAGAAGGGATCTCACCTGCCAACAGAGAGAACGGTGACCTCTCCTTGGCGTCTTGGCCGGCCCTCTTTGGACTTGGTACTGGGTTTTATGAAGTGCCATCGCTTGTGCCTACACCGATGACACACGTCCCTCTCGACAACACCTCCCACTGTATGCAGATGGTGGCCACAGATGTGTTTCCCTGGGGTGCCTCCAGGTGACAAAGGCCCAGGACTCACTGGCGGGCTCCCGGGAGTGCTGGGGGTCACAGGGCTAAGGGTAGGGAGGAAAAAGAAAAAGAAAAGGTAGAACTGGTTATAAAAAATATACCAACTAAGACAATCTCTCTCCTTGTGATGTAAGAGGCAGGTTTAAATGGGGGGTAAAAATGCATCTTCCAATTGTACAAACGGACTTCATAAATTGATCTTAGGCAAGAGGTACTCAGCTCTCATGACCATACAATGACAGTTCATTTTAAACAATAATAGTGTGACTTATCACTTCTAGAATGGAATTAATTGGAAATAAACTACTGCTTCTAATGATGCACTGTTTGACTTTAAAGCATTAGGTTTCTTTCTAAAACACTGATCTCCCTCCTCACGTGATCACACTAATTTCTCATACATAGCCAAGTGTCTGCCTGGAACTCTAAACAAACAGGTGGGTGGCCTAAGCACATGCATATGTGTCCAGAGGAAAGAAAAACTTAAATTTCAATCAAATTATCAGATGACTTAAGACAGTCAGAATGTGGTCCAATCTGGCCATTGCATCAAAGAAAGATAGCTTTTAGGTCAAGATATCAAAAGTGATGCTCAAAACAGATGTGGATGGTGTTGATCATAGTAATAATAAAAACAGCTAACCTTAGTATTCTACACATTTTATATATGTTAATTCAATTAATCTTCATAAATCCTTATGACCTAGGCATTATTAATTTCCTCATTTTCAAAATGAGGACGTTGAGGTTCAGAGAAGTTAAGTAACTTGCCTAAGGTCACACAGCAAATAAGTGATGGATCTGAGATGGAAACCTAGAAAGTCTAATTCCAGAAACCAGACCCTTAACCACCATACTATATATAATGCTTCAGGAACAGCAGAGACCACTTTGATAATCTGAAAGAAATTTGGCTAAATCATCCAAAATATAAAAAGCAGAAGTATGTAGGCCAAGATGTTGGCTGTTTTCAAAAGGCACACGTCAAGGCTCTGACCCATTATAAAAGGAGGAATTAAAACAGGACAGGGCCAGACTGACCAGGAATCAGCCCTCTGGCTCACATGTGTTTAGGTGGGGCAGTAAGTCACAGAGCTTGACACCTGACATCCTGGCAAGAGCCCCGAAGGCACACAGAAGGATTGTGATGGCAGAAACCAGCCTTTGTACTGCCGAAAACAGTCCATGGTTGAGGAGATAATCTCACACATGACACACAGCCAAAAGTTTTCTGGTGCTCTCTAGGGACGTCCTTTAAATTGTTAAAATAAAAGCACACAGCAGTACCTTCCTGGGGTAAAATAGTAGTGTTAAATTAACACTACATGTTAGAAGGCTAAATTCAAGAGTTTAATGACATTCATTCAACAAACATTATCAAGTACCAGCTGTGTACAAAACCCAGTGACAGGCACTACAAGTATGCCCACAGATGACCGAGACGAAGATGTCTTCCCAGCGGATGTCTGTGGTCAGGGCTGGAATGCTGGAGAATCACAGCTCTGTATCTCTAAGTGCTACATCAGCAGAGCTTCCTAAACTCACCTTCCTGCACTCTGCACTACCTCTCCAAAATGCACAGCAAACACGGTCAGTGTGGCAAACTTATGGTGCACAGCTCACACAGGATGCAGAAAAAGATCCTTCTTCCTTTCCATGTATTCTGTCCCAGTTTCCTTTCCT